CAGAATACCTCAACAAAAATATGATGCCCTAAAGCCCAAAAGAACCTGATCATCTAGGGCTGGAGTTTAAAGCTACCTCTCCTCCAACGTTAACTTGTGCATTCGGTGCATACAATCCAACGTAGCAGAAGAGAGGATTTCCAGGATTCTGAAAGATGACGTTTTTAGGGCCTTATTGGAGTCATGGGCGGAATGAACTCACTCTGTTCTTTGGCGGATAAATACAGGCATCAGTGTCGCAACAACATCCGCCCACTCCTGGCTCGATAATGTTGCATCTGTTGGTCATGTCTGGAATATTGATGATCAGCATCTGACTGATCGGGGAGGAAGGAGGGGGGTTCCGCAAGATCTCGGGCAAGAAACGTACTCAGAGCTCTGCAGACTGCTGTAGGATCGCACATGTAGATCGAGGCGGTGTGGAAGGTTCCACTAATGGTGGTGTTCAGCGTGATGGAAGCGCATTGTCCATTACAGGATTGGAATCTGAAGTGGGTATTTGGGGTGTCTCAGAAGTCGCGCATGGCGCCGACCATGTTTACTTACCCAGCGTCAGTCAGAGGTTTTCCATTCACATAGATTCCAGTCCAGCACGAGATAGGGAACTCTACGATTGGACTTGGGGTAGGCAACGTGGCCTGGAATACGTGCATTTTATAAGTATTGATCGACCACATTTTGAGGTTGATCTCACATTGGTTCTGTTCTGCATGTGGAAGTTACAGCTGTCTCGTTCATCACAACAACATCCGGTGATTTCACGATCTCCTTGAAGCGTTGCGCATCCGTCACGGTTCAGGAAGGTCCTGAAAGAGAGACTCTTGCATTAGGGGGGGGGGGTCCTTCACAGGTGTTGTAGCAATAGTACTCACTTGCAGACTTGTGTTGGTACACATTGGAATGTAGTGACGTCGTCTCCGTTAACCATTCCACGCAGTGAAGCGCACATTCCATTGCAGACAACCTACAAAAGATTGAAGGTGTACGGTACTGTCCAGTATTGATGCAAAATCCTTCAGTACCTCGGCTCCGACGTTCACACCGGCCTTCGGGGCAGTCAAACCGACGTAGCATAGCAGTGGCTTTCCAGGCTTCTAAACACATCACGTTATTGATTTTTGGAACCAACCAAAGTTATCATTATCAGGCTGTTTCGCAATAAAAGCCTTGCCTATGATCTGAGCGCTAATGTCAACCCAAAGTTCGAGACGGGGATTTTCGAGCTTGAACGGTTACTGAAAAACCTAGGTGTGGGTCAGGAAGCCCACGATGCGGCGGCGCGGCAAAAGCGGCGTCGCGCATGCGACATTGCACGGGAAGGTGTTTCGTTCAAACACAAATACGTTTCCCTCCATCTATGAGTTATCGGTAAAAATCCAATAGACGAAAGAATGGTGTCAGGGCGCTGCCTCCAATAATCCCGTCCAGAATTCCAAGCAAAAGAAAGGCCATGGACCCGGTCGAATTATTGAATTCGTGCCGTAAAATGGATGATGTTGGACGCACACCAACGTTAGATAATTAACTTGACGTCAAAGGCTGCGGTAGACCGAGTCAGTTAGTAAGCAACCAGTGTGCTGCCGCAGAAGTGAACCTCCTGACCTCCACCTGAAGACTTATTGAAACATTACCTTTCTCGGCGTGATACATGCGTCAGTGTTACAACAGCAAGTGCTGATTCCAGGTTCGACATCCGTGCAGTTATTGGTGATTCCTTAATTATTTTATGATATTTTTCCAGTAAATTCAAATTCCAAATAAGTTTTGTATTACTCTCGAGCTCTGATAGAAATGGTGTTCTTACACACAAATATAGGCTCTAAGCCATAGCTGTAGGCGTTACGCGAAATATGGCACTCTAACTTTACCAAAATTGCTTACCCTAGGCCCTGCTTTGCAAATATAACGAAAAATTTCGGAATCAGGGGGTTTATTTTGGTAGAAAAAAGTTCAGATAACCTATTTGTTTATAGGTTATTTTAAATTGCCGCCGTAAAACTGTCACATTTTTGGCGATGGGGAATTAACATGTGTAAACGTGTCGAACGCGTGATCGAGAAACGAATTTCACGTTAGATCTTCTAAAACCTCACCGCACCCGCCCATACTTTGTTCTATGAGCCCCTTTGGCTTCGTCTTTTCTACCATGACCCGTCCAGGAAATGAGCTTCGGCGCTATCGCAATAACAGGGCATCTGTGGTAGCTAATGCATAGAATCGAATAAAACATTGCCGTTTCGTTGACCTCGGGACTAAGCTCAGGCGGGCGGGGGGAGGGTGGGAGGCTTCAGGATGCGTGAGCAATTGCATCCTATTCGCAGGAAGTTCGTCCCTTTTCTAGGCCTATCCTAAACCCCTAAGATGTCCCCGCATCTTGCGATAGCGCCTAAACTTTTTCACGAGTTGTTTTTCTTTGAATTTTACTTTTTTTAGCCCGGCCTGGTCTCCTCTGACGAAATACAGCACGATCGTAAAAGTAAGTTGTTCTGCACACAGTACCTTTAGGGGGGGGGTAAGGCCATTGTCAGGGTTGTCAGTTCAGGTTAGTTTTCTCAACGATGGCAGGAAGTGGTCGAAGGAGAGACTTGTACTCTATTTAATACATAAATTCTTTCGCTTTCTCGTCCTACGAACGGTGCAGCAGTCCAATGTCGAGTGTATTCCTTGCCAGGATTTAGAGCCCTGTAGTTCGGACTATGTAACCCGGCTTCTGTCCCCATTCCAGCCCCGGAAAAATACTACACCTACGATTCGTTAATAACCATCGTTGGCTATATTGCAACAACAATGGCTGATCCGTTTATGAGTTAGTTGTATGGCCTTGGGTAACCGGTTACCGCAGAGCTCCACAAGAGCTAGATGAGCTGGCTGTAGTGTTGAAGCACTCACCAAGTGTTTTGCACACAGCTGACGGGTCACAGGTGTACATTGTGGCGGTGTGGTTTTGTCCTTGGAAATTCGTGCCAATAGTTAGAGAGGCGCATTCGCCGTTACACGATTGGAAGCTGTAATTGACTCAATAATTAGCTGCTTTTTTCGAAAAATATGGAAAAAATAGGTTTTGTGAAGTACCTGGGTTGTGAGAGAGGTCGGCCGTTCACGTAGATACCAGACCAACATGAGATCGGGAACTCTGGGTCGAGGTGGTGGAGTGGGGATGGTGAGCTGAAATGAAATTCCGGCATTTTTAGCTTAGACCTCGAAAACAGAGGGGGGAGGGTGGCTGAGGGTAAACTCACATTGTATGGAGAAGCATTGCATCCGTTGGACGTATCGCAGCAGCATCCAGTCACTTCACGATCACCCTTAATTGTGGAGCAGCCGTTGTCGGCGCGAAAAGACCTGCAATACCAGTCAGAGTTAATAAGTTTGCTGCAGAAACTTTTGGGGCGGGCCATGTGCTATCTAGCCCGTTGGACATTATAGTCCAGACGACTCCATTCAAATTGCAGTCGTGTCTTCTCATGAATAGAAAAACATATTGTCACAGTTTAGTCGGTTCTTCGGGTGGGTGGTTCAATCAATGAAAAAGGGCGGAACGGCGCGCAATCGAACCCTACTGGCACTATAAAGGCCAGGCGTCAGACTTCACGATCAATCGCAAGCGAATCGCGCGATTCAATTATAGTGATGGCCAGCGACTTCAGTGATACGCCAGTGATTCCAGATGCAACAGCAATCCCAGCGATCGCTCGTACCCCTCAAGTCGCGCGATTCGCTAGCGATTAATCGCAAAGTCTGACACCTGCCTAGGAGCGTGCTATTCTTCCACTCTGCTATTCTTCCACTTTCACTTGAGCTAATTACAACATTACAACATGAAAAAGTACTCACTTGCAAATACTGGTCGGTACGCACTGGAAGGTGGTGACATTATCACCGTTTACCATGGCGTTTAGGGAGGAGCACATTCCGGTACAACGCACCTGAAACGCCGATTAAGCCGTGCATATGTAAGCTACTAAGGTTTTTTGAATAGTTACCTCAGCTCCGACGTTAACTCCAGCCTTTGGCGCAAGGATACCGACGTAGGCATGTGAGTGGTTGTAGGTGACTGAAAATTGCTGCTATTATTCCTCGGCAGGACTTCATTGTAAGGGCACTTTGATAAACTTTCTTACCTTCTTTGGTGAAAGACAACCATCATCACTACAGCAACAGCCGGAAACTCCTGGTTCAACCGTGTCGCATCTGTTGCTCATGTCTGAAAGCCCTCTGGTGCATTTGCCACTTGTAGACTAGGGTTATGGCAGAACTTACTGAGTGCCTGGCAGATAGACGTCGGGTCACACATGTAGATGGTGGCATTGTGCTGTTGGCCGCTGAGTGTTGTCTGGAGGGTCACCGAAGCGCATTCTCCTTGCAAAGACTGATATCTGCAAGAAGCCGCTTCTTAGTTTGGATTTTGTGAAGCCGCAGTGTGCACTTTGAACTTACCCAGCAGGGGTTATGGCGTTTCCATTTACGTAGACTCCTGACCAGCATGAGATCGGGAACTCGGTGTTCGGTGAGGGTGAAGGAGGAACGATCTTAAATCAGTGGAAAAATTAGAACTTATGGCTTCTGTTTTCGAATGTCTAGTTGATCGAACCATTTCTATAGTTTAGCGGGTCATAAGATTTTCCCTTACCGGCGGCTGAATCAGCGCCAATTTTGCAAGGAAATATCGGGTTTGGGCCAGAGTGGGCAAGTTGAGATCAGACCTTGACCGGGAGGGGAGGAGGCTATGAGAGAATCGTCGAACGGCTCTGATTGATGCTATAGTGTGTTCGCTGCATATATTTAAGTTGATAGCTAACTAGAAAACTGTTAACCTGTTTTGATAGTTCCCTCTGCAGTACCGATCTCGGGTAGCTCTTGAGTTATTCGTTCTGATCCTCCGCTAATCCTTCTTCGAAAGCTTTGGTCTATCGGAGAAAGGGAAAGGGGTACTGAGTTCTTAATTCGTTACCGAGGGCGTTCCTCTTGGAAAATCATGCTCGCGGGGTGCCCAGACAACAGAAACTGAACAAGGGGCCTTATCTCCTCCCCCTTCGGCTGTCTCGAAAGAACGCGAGGCTTGGAATTTGTACATGCTTAATAGCGGTAAGATAATAATCTATGGGTGGGTAACAATGCGGCCCTTTGGCAGAAGGAACCCGAAGTTCTTTCAGCTACCCGTTCAACAGTACATGCGCATTCGGTCTTTCTCCCACTCCACTATGAAGTTGGCTACAGTAATCCCGAGAAAACTCACATCAGTATTATTGGAAAGTTGAAGATTGCAGCTGTTGGCAAAGTCACAGCAGCATCCGCTGATTTCGCGATCTCCTGGCAGACCGGTGCAGGCGTTGTCGATGGCGAGAGACCTGAACAGTCGCTTATAGTAGATCCCAGTGCAAACCCAGGACCCAAGAAAGCTTGGTGGGTGCTAACTTAGTTGGGGGGACCACGCGGCGGCGCGGCGCTCTGTTCGTCTGCTCCTCCAAGGCTTAGTCCGCCGATGGCGCGTATTTCGAAACTGCCACGTGGCGACGAAATAGTAACTGCCCCTTGGACTAAGCCTTAGAGGAGCAGACGAACAGAGCGCCGCGCCGCCGCGTGGCCCCCCCCCCCAACTAAGTTAGCACTGCTTGGTGTAAATTAGGTTGCTTACTTGCAAATGGTTGTCGGCACACATTGGAACGTGGTAATGCTGTCACCGTTAACGACACCGCTCAATGATGAGCACATACCGTCGCAGTATACCTGAATAAGGACCCGTATCTCTTAAACCAGAAAAGGAAGAGTTCAAAGGCCTCTTACCTCAGCACCAACGTTAACTCCGGCTTTAGGCGCTCTGAGACCAACGTAGCACTGAAGAGCATTGCCTGGGCTCTGAAATGTGCACAGTTTATTTCAATCAGGTGACCTTTTTGGGCTCCGCACGCAATTTCTGAGAATAAGAAATTTCCTACTAAGTTGTGGATGTTTACACAGTATAAATAAACAATAAACGAATAAACGATTTTGCTGTAATTATTACGGATAATGTTTCAGATTTGACGTAAAAAAAAGTTTGTTCGTTTGTAGTACAAGGCAGTGAGATATTGCATATTAAGTTGAGTCAAAGAAATGGGGCGTGGCTAAAAACGCTTTGATTAGAACGTGTTCGAACCCTCACATAATGCGCCAGCACATGCTATGAAACTCTTGTTATTTAGATTTTTTGGTCATAAAGAACTGAAATAGTGTTCCTTATTTTCCAAGAGAGTTTGAGCAAACCAGGACTTTTCTTTTTGTCTGATTTTTTCATTCAAACGAAGCGCGGTGTTTCCTATCTTTTCCCTATTTTTGGAGAATGCAATTGTAAACATTACCGACATATGGAAAGGCGAGAACAAATAATGTTTGTGGCCAAAATTTCCAACAAAAATTCCACGATCTTACCTTTCTGGGTGTAAGACAGGCATCGGTGTTACAGCAACATCCGCTTACTCCGCTCTCGAGCGTTTGGCATTGGTTAGTCATATCTAAATTCCAGAGCGTAATTTGGGATTGACAGTGGAGGGCAAAACTTGAAACTCTTTTTACGGTCGATCAATATACTTCTTTGGATTGCGCCATGCATTCTCACCACTTTGAGAATAGCGATGGCTTTTGAACGCGATTTGGTCTATAGAATGACTTGTGCGGGCCAGTTGGTGCAAAATTAAGCGTTTTCGTACTCCCTTACGCTTTCTGACGCGTAGCCGTCCTGAGTGATAGAAGGTCAGCTGGCTGTAACTACTTTGCGTACCAGATGGAGAACTGGGCAGGTAAGTAAGCTCAAACGTCAGCACTGTTACAGTGCGAGATTCTCCTGCAGCCAACCGACAATTGGATCAAAAGATAAAACCTACTGAAGAGCTTTGCAGACAGACGACGGGTCGCAGGTGTACATGGTGGCGTTGTGAGCTTGACCAGCAACGCTGGTGGCCAATGTCAGAGAAGCGCATTGTCCTTTGCAGGATTGGAATCTGAAACGGTAGGATCCCTCTCAAGGCTGCTTGTTGTTGTTTCCTGACGGTGACTTACCCTGGGTTGGAAAGATGCTTTCCGTTGACGTAGATTCCGGACCAGCACGAGATCGGGAAGTCGGTGTTAGGTGCAACTGTGGGTGGGATGAACTGAAAAAAAAACAAAATTCACTGGATTCATCGGGATCTCAGGTAAAGATGTCGGTCAGACTCTGTGATTTGCATCGGCGGCAATCTGCAATCGCAGAGTCTGACGACACTAAAGCCTGAAAACCCACATCAGGTGGGGTATTGCAGGAATTTGACGAATCACAGCAACATCCAGTTACTTCACGGTCACCTTTTAGGGTACTGCAGCTGTTGTAAGCGCTGAATGCTCTGAAAATGCAGTTTTTATTCTACAGTATCTCGAATCTGAGAGAACTCTGTCCAAAAATGCCCATTGTACGCACTTGCAGACTTGTTTTCGCATCACATGCGTAAGTGAGTCACGTTGTCGTGTTCGCACCATGGCGATTCAGCGAGGAGCACAACCCATTGCAGAGCGATCTGAATTCTAAAGAGACTGAGCCATTAACAGGGTCCGCCCAACCGAATAAAGCGTAGATTTCGCATGATCGCGCAAATCCGAATAATTTCTGTTGTTCCTTCGCGTCCGAATCTGTCATAACTGACAGATGAGAGAACAAATCCAGACCAGAGACCATCAGGAACAATTCAAAAGCCACAAGATTATTGATTTTGGAGGCCACGTGCCGATATGCTACTGGACTCCACAGGTGCGACAGCCTGAGTGAGATATCTAGGCCGATGTCAGACTTTGCGAATCGCGCGATTCGCTAGCGTCCGCGGTCGCGTTGCGGTACCAGCCAATTGAGTGATTCACTGGCCGCGACGCGACCGCAGACGCTAGCGAATCGCGCGATTCGCAAAGTCTGACATCGGCCTTGGTAAAACTTGCTTTTACGTTGCTACCCAGATGCTGCCAATAACTATAAACTATAAGTGTTAGGGCTTTCGTCGTTGCCGATGTCGCATCGCTGTGTCCAACGGCACTGAGCCTCACTGCCGTTTTTTAAGTTCTTGCGGCGGTGATCCGTATCACAGGGACAGTTCCCTAGTCGCGCGCGGCGAACGGAGTATCCAGCGAATCTGCGCTAAGAGGATATGCGTTACTGAGCCACCATTGGAGGATCTATCCTACTGTTCACTGCTTTGATTCTTCGGCCTTTAATTGGTCAGCATCCGCTATCTTTTATCCTTAAGCGCTCAAACCTTCATGGCAAGCTCATGAAAGAAAATGTTCGACCGGTCACGCAGTGTGCCTAATGTCGCTTGCTGTCGCCCCATCGGCGGCTGAAAATAGCGGCACTATTTCGTCAGGCCGGGGAGTCGTCGAGGGATTTTCGCCTGTTCAATCACGCTCTTCCCCGTGCCCACTCACTCTCGCCACGCGCGAGCCGTTTGTGGTCCTCCGCGCGTACCTTCACTCTGGACACTACTCTCACACAGTACGGAATCATGGTCGAGGGTTTCCCCGACACTTATTCATTTGCACCCGATTTCCTCCACAGTAGTTCTCAATACTTTCTGCAACTTGGACATACCTCAGCTCGACGTTGGATTCCGGCATTTGGTGCGCTGAATTCCAATCGTTAACACAAGAAGAGGAGCAGCTCCGGGAGCTGAAAAATTAAAATTTTCAAATCTATTCGCTAATAAATTCTAGTCCATTCTGGTCAACTGAAGCTTACCTTATTTGGTGTAAGACAGGCATCAGTGTCGCAGCAGCATCCGCTGACTCCCGCTTCAATGGTCGCGCAGTTGTTGCTCATGTCTGAAACGTTCACGTTCAGGTACTCCCATTGTGTGGGCCCGATACCCGGGATAAAACCACGTTTTTCAAGGGTAAAATCGTACTCAAAGCTTGGCAGACAGCTGTAGGATCGCACATGTACATTGTGGCATTGTGTTGTTGGCCGTATTGGTGGTTTCGAAGGGTGCACGAAGCGCACCAGGTCCCGTTGCAAGATTGGAATCTGAAGAGAAGAAAATAAGAGACTGGCATGTGCACGGCCGTATTCGAAACTTACCCAGCCCTGGTAATAGCGTTTCCATTCACATACACTCCACTCCAGCATGAAATTGGGAAGTCGACGTTTGTGGGTGGCCCAACGGTATCGCACGTCTTGCTGCGCTTACCACAATTTTCGTAGCATAGTCTTTTCGCGCGTTGACAGAAAGGGCTCGTTTTTAAATGTTAGATCGGGATTTGATATGCTAATTGAAGTGGCGGGGCGGCGGGGGGGTGTGGGCGAGGGACTGTGGGTGGGATGATCATCTAAATGACCAGACAAATATATCGATTTACGAATCGATAACGATCAATAATGCAATGCTTACACTATAGTTGGCGACGTTGCAACTGTTGAAATTGTCACAACAACATCCTTGAATTTCACGATCTCCTGGCAATGAAGTGCAAGCGTTGTCAATTTCGAGACTCCTAAAAAATTCAGTACATTAATCCAGTTTCCACCGTAACCCTCCTGAGGTTGTGAACAAGCGGTTTGGACTCACTTGCACACAGTCAAAGGAGCACATTGGAATGTGGTAACAGTGTCTCCGTTGACGATTCCGCTAAGGCTCGAGCATTGGCCATCACAGGCAATCTGAAAAATCGTCTTTTCCATAAAAATCCTTCAAAACCGTGATGTTGCTGCTATACTTGGAGTATTAGCTACTGGCTGCCTATGTACAATCGAAATGATTGTTCTCTGCTTTTCTGCGTCTCCTCGGCATGAACGCTATTTCCTCGTGGCCGCGCTACCAGCCGCAGCCTATTCGCCTAGTATAAAAGCAGCCTGACGACTAGAAATAACGTTGCGTGACTGTACCTCTCCTCCGAACATTGACTCCTGCCTTCGGGGCGTACATTCCAACGTAGCACAGCAGGCGATTTCCAGGGCTCTGAAATTGGGACAACATTATCTGGCAACTTACGTAAGTCGTAGGAATGCCCTTACCCTGTTCTTTGGTGGGTAAATACAAGCGTCGGTATCACAACAGCATCCGCCGACTCCTGGCTCGATCACATTGCACTTGTTGGTCATATCTGGAACATTGAGGCCATTCTTGGCTCCCAAGAGCCTGTGAAACAAAAGGAACTCACTCAGTGCCTGGCAAACAGCCACAGGATCGCACATATACATTGAAGCGGTGTGGAAGTTTCCATTAAGGGTGGTGTTTAGGGTAATGGATGCGCATTGACCATTGCAGGTTTGGAACCTGAAAGTCAACGCTGTTGCCGGGATGTCTCAGAAGTCACGCATGGACCTACTCACCCAACGCTGGTCATAGCAGCTCCGTTTACATAAATTCCTGTCCAGCACGAGATCGGAAACTCTACAAGTGGACTTGGGGTGGGAATGACGATCTGAAAAATACACATGTAGGCGGATTATTGATTGATATTGATCGGCGTTCAAAACTTACGCCGGTAGCGTTCTGCTGGTAGATGTTGCAACTGTTTTTGTCATTACAACAGCATCCAGTGATTTCGCGATCTCCCTGGAGTGTGGCGCAGCCGTTGGTGTTCAAGAAGGTCCTGAAATAGGTATGTTGGGTTTCCAGGGTTATCCTATTGCCTGAGTGAGGGTCCCGCACGAAAATCCCTATCACTTACTTGCATACTTGTCGTGGTACACATTGGAAGGTAATGATATTGTCTCCGTTCACAACTCCGCTCAACGAGGCGCATCGTCCATTGCAGAAAACCTAAAAGCGGTAGCATACGGTATTACTGCCCACGACCCAGCTGGGCTGTTGGCTTACCTCAGCACCGACGTTCACTCCAGCCTTTGGGGCAACCATTCCAACATAGCACATAAGTGGCTTGTCAGGAACCTGAAGCGAGGATTTTGGTGAAACGTTCAGCATCATAGGGAAACTCGTCCGAAGGGACGGGAGTTGCTCACCCTAGGAGGGTCGACAGTTGGATTTATGCAAGCGTCCCAATCACAGCAACATCCTCTGACAACTCCTGGTTCGAGGTCATGGCATTTGTTAGTTACTCCTGAAAAATCATTTATGTAGAAACCCATTGAACTTAAAGGCAGTGGTCACGATGCCTGGGGGTGCAGTTTTGATGACGTCATTGATCGTCATAGGTGGACAGAGTCTTCAGCGCGCTGGGGGCTTGTTGAGATTGTCCTTCCACCAATGAAACTCAGTGACGTCATCAAAAATATAGCGCCCTTCAGCCTTCACTGCTTTTGAAAAGCCATAAAAAATTGTCAGGGCTGATTGAAAATTGTTATTTTTATCTATCCGATGGGTTTTTAGGGTTTTGGTATGAAAACCCTACCAAGAGCGCTGCACACGGCAGTTGGGTCGCAAGGTGTAGACAGAAGCGACCAGAGGATTTCCATTGAGTGAAGAGTTGACCGTGAGCGACATACATTCACCTTCACATCCGATCCATCTGCAAGTATCGATGCAGTACAGGCAAGTCCTTCTCGAGCGGAAGTATCAACCTACCCAGATCCAAGTTGAGTGACGCCGTTGATTGCCCAACCCGAGTAGCAGGCAACTGGTTCCTCGGTGGGTTGCACAGGAATGGTGGTGTTAATGTTGGTGCCGGCTGTGTTGCAATTGTCGGTATTACAGCAACATCCGGTGAGATCTCGGTCGAGGACTATGGTAGTACAGGTCGAGTTCAGGCCAGCAGTACTGTAATGAGAAGTATGAGCTAACGAAAAAGGCGACTAGGACTCTCCAGCTTTCTGCAGGACGTACTCGCAAAAAGACTGCGGGAAACAGTTGTATGTAGTGAATTTGGAGCCACCGACAGAGGTGGAGACTGAGCCGCAGAGTCCATTACAGAATACCTGGAAAAGGATGGTTTTTGAGGAATACCCAGCACGTCTTTTAGCGCGGCGCTTACCTCGGTACCAATGGAGGTGTTGTTGTAATCAGCGACAATACCGACGAAACACCGAAGCGATCCAGCAGCGGCCTAAACTTTCATCTTGACCTTTCAAAGAGAATGGAGTACGGTAATGAGCTTACATTCTCCGGTAACCGTGTCATCAAGTAGCCGACATCTCGATCCAGTGCAAAGCATGCGGCCACCAAGGCCAGGTGTAAGCCCAAGCGCATCTGAAACAGCACGCTACAGTATGCCCGACAAGAGTAGGTGACGGTGTGTGTGACGCAACACCGTAGAGCGAAGTGATAAGGAATGTAGCGAGGGTCGTTTTAAGCGAAGTTGTAACAACGATTTTTATGGCACTGATAACAAACGCTGCGACAATGAAGAGCCTATAGGGCACTGATAATATGACCAGAAAGCCAGAAGATTCCACATAAACCAACTAAAAGCTCAAAGGAAATTCGCTCATGAAATAAGTGCAATAGATACTGATTGATTTATGCAGGCTACCACAGAAAATTGGGAAAAAATCTTAGAAGGCATTTCGTTAACTAGCATTATTTCTTGAACATCCTGAAAAAGCTTGCTTGCAACAGCTCCATCCCGGAAATTGCGCATGCTTTTGACTACAGACAGGTGTAAAAGTGCAAAAAATACAGCTAATTTTTTCGAAACTCTGAGCCGTAACATTCAATGCTAAGCCGTTTATGATTTGTGTTTAGGAACACAAACATTTAACATTTC